TAGGTGTCAGGGGAGTGGGTCTTTCCCACAAAATGTACTCTCTGAGAACCCCAAGCAAGAGGTTGTCCTATTTGCCCTACCTATTTTTATGTCCCATGAGCAGTTGAGGAGCAAGGCTCAGCCAAGATAAGGCCCCGAACAAGAACATGCATGGCCCCAAGGGTGGACAAAAATGGTGGCTGAGACTTCTGAGTCTGTTTGTCGGCATCTTATGATGACCAAAATCCATGCCCTCCCCATCCCCAGGGACTGTGATTCAGCTGCATGGGTAGCGCATGGGATTTTGCAAATGTCTCCAGATGATTCCCAGGTGACATCAAAGCTGCTGCAAAACTACAGCCTTACTGAAAGAGATAATTAACTTTTTGAATACTCGCTGGGTGCCAGATAGAGCGCTGAGTGTTTTCCCTGCATTAGCCACTTTATTTATTTCTCCCAGCCCTCCTGTGAGATAAGCGTGTCCCTATTTCACAGATAACACTGAGGGCTTAAGCCTTTAAGTATCAGGCAGAATCTGATTCCTAGTCCATTTAACCCCAAAGTTTGTGCTTTTTGCACTCAGCAATCTTCTCAGAGAGCCCAGACTTTGGCAAAATAAATATTTAGATAAACTCCCCAGAAACCTACCTAAGAAAGCCTTTCGTTTGCCCACTTATCTGATCAAGCATCTTCTCTGTCTTCTACATCACTTGTGGAAGAAGGACCAGAAACTATTTTATATTTATATACTTGAATATTTCTAAGGAGATTTGGTCGCAGCCTCCAATCGCCAGTGTCCCAGGTGCCGCCCTGGCAAGGGCAATGCCTATGCCAAACACCCCTGTCCTTACAAAGCACTCTTGAAGCAAGGATCTCAAAGCACAATGTAATTAATAAAATCACCCACATCCTGTCTAGATGAGTAGCGTTTTATATGTACAAATTCTCTCTGCCCCCAGGCCCTCTGAAAGAACATGAATGTTTCCAATTTTGAAGAATGAGCAATAGTGTAATTGAAAGGAGCTGTATTTTGGGCAGCTCCAAAGACCTCAAAGGCATTTATAGTGACCTATATGGGAAAACATGGTGACCACAAAGTGTGTCATAATGGCTTGTCAACCATACTGTGCTAATAAGTGCTTCAAAGATAGAAAAGACAGGATAAAAATAAAACATTCAGTTCTTACAAGTCTGATACCTCTTAGACTGATATTATAATCTGCTTAGCCAAGTCTCTAAAGGCTCTAGAAGCCGTGGAGAGGTGACATTAGCTGATGATCCAGTTACTTGGGCTAATCAAGGCACACACGGGACCGATGGGGCCAATTAAGTAGCAAGGCAGCCCAGTGATAGATGAGACATTATGGGCAAGTGCAAAGATAATGCCATTGGGAAAAGCAATTTAAGTCATCTGTGCACTTCCAGGCCAGGAAATCCTTCTGGTCTTGAGGGGGAACATTTAGGAATCATCAGGCCCAGCCTGATGAAGTCATCTGTTGATTGTGTAACTAGCGATCAACAAATGCACCAAGCACGTGGGACAGGCCATATGGAATGCATTTTGGTGGCTGGGATGTGTGTCTGTGCCTTCATTCCAATCACCTGTATAACACATCTTATCATAGACTTCTTTTTCTTCTGTCCACTTGTCCTCCTGTGTTCTTATCCCTAAACATTGTCTTTCAGTGTATGGGTAAATTTTTTGAAATGAAGGCAAATATTTTCTTGCCCAGTTTCTAGTTTTGCACTTCCAATATGCCACTCTTTGTACACAGAATGGTTTCCAAGGGAGGCATCAGTGTGTCTCAGACCACTTTCCTAAAGGCTAGGTCTACATAACAGGATTTATACAGATGGTCCTGCACCTCTTCAAGTCCCTCATGTTTATGTTACAAAGCTGGAGCTGGAAGGTGGTGTATATTGTTATTTTCTGAAAAAGTAGAGAAGGAAAAGAAAAGGACCTAAGCATTATAAAGTAAACTGCCCTGGAAACTACCTGCTTCTTGAAAATCAACTTTCCCTCTCCAGAATATATAGCTGTCAATGAGCACCATGTTGCTAAATCTAATGGACTTCCCCCCATCTCCTGTATCTTCCCCTTTGTTTCTCCTTTTTCCTCCCTCCAGTGATTAAATACCAGATTCTACAGTCCCTCTAGACTCACTCTCTGAACTTTCTAAAACACACTTCTACTTTTTCAGCCTCACCTTGCTTCACACTCAACCACATTCGCTCCGTTCTGAGCCACCCCATTCTGCGGACCATAGCACCATTACACTGTGTTCTCTACCTAACATGCTCCTCTCTGACTTTTCTCTGCCTAATACTTCCTCATCCATCTAACTTTAGTTGACTCACCATTTACTGACTGTCTCACATTTGTTCCAATTTCTCTAATGTGAGCTCTCATGGCACCACATAAAATGCTCTTGTGCTCCTCACAACTGCAGTTTTATAGATATTTGTGTGATTATTTAATTAGTGTGTACCTCAGCTACTAAAATTTAATTCCCTGCCCCTCCCACCCATTGCCTCTCCATCTCTTTTTTTTTTTTTTTTTGTATTTTAGGGAATGGTCTACCAGATGTTCAGGGTCTCACTACTACATCAGACTCATAGTAATCCACCTGTTTACAGCCTCCCAAGAGCTGGGATTACAGGCACATGCCACCACACCCAGTCTCAATTGCTGTCTCAATGTGTCCTGGGGGCAGGGCCAACATGACAGGCCCAGGGATCGAACCCCCAGCCCCTGCGCCTGCCTGTGGGTGCTTTATTCCACCTTATTATTTGACCAGCCCTTCTCTCTATCTCTTGATGCCCTTCCCACTGAAGACATTTTTCTCCCTACTTCCTATATCTCTTATTTTGCTATTTATTTAAATTTTTTAATTTTCATATAAGAGGTAAAACATTTAAGCTTGGGTGGCTTCTCTATTTCACTTAACATGATGGTCTCAAGATGTATCTGGTTTCCTACAGGTGATTCAAGTTTATCTTTCCTTATAAGAGAGAAGTACTGTACTGTGTGTACATACCACGTTTTCTTTTTCCATCCATCTATTGATGGGCATATAGGTCACTTCCCAAATTGTGAATTGTGCAGCTATAAACATAGGTATGCATGTAACACTGTAATGTGATGTCCTTAATTCTTTTGGAAAGATGCCTACGAGGAGAATAGGTATGTCAAATATAATGTCTAGGTTTAGTTTTTGAGGAATTGCCATACTGATTTCCATGGTGGTTGTGCTACTTTACATTCCCACCAACAATGTACAGGCTTCCTTTCCCCCATAACTTTTCCAGCATTTGTTGTTACTATTTGGTTTCTTGGTGATGCCATTCTTTCTGGGATAAGATGGAGTCTCAGTGTGGGTTTAATTTGCATTTCTCTAATGGCCAGCAATGCTGAAATTTCTTCATGTATTTGCTAGCCATCTTTGCTTCTTCTGTTAATGTTTATTCATACATTTACCCATTTTTTATTGAATCTTCTACTTCAGAGAATCTAATTTTTAGTACTATATATAACCTATATATTAGTCCTCTTAGAAATAGTTAGTAAATGTTCTTCTCTGTATAGGTTGTCCTTCCACTGTATTGGTGGTTAGGTTGTTTGCTGTGAAGAATTTTTTAATTTGATATGATCCCATTTGTTGATTCTCGATACTATTTCTTATGCATCTGGGATTCTAGTCTGAAAAAAAAAAAGACTCTAATAATCCCAGTGGCAGTGTCCCATCACTGAACAACACTCCAATCAACAGGTTGGAGTATTCCATTTGACCAGGCTGAGGCTTCATGCTATTCCTGTAGCAAAGAGGAAAGGTAAGGCCAGTCTTACCCAAATACCTTTGTTCTCTGGAGGGTGGAAACTGAGGAGAAGAATTCCACTGCTTAACCATTTGCCAAGACAAAACATGAGATCTTTTCTAAAAAGGAAGTAGATGGCCACAGTTGACATGTTTACTAAAATTTTTGCCTTTTTTCTATCTGAAGAGTTAGAAATGACTGTGACTCATGTCCAAGCTACTTCTAGAGCAGGGTCTCTACCTAACATGAAATGAATGCCTGACCAGTCACAAGGAAGACAAGCTATAGACAACCAGTTCTACTGTAGTAGCACATTCCCAATAAATAACATCCCTACATCAAACAAAAAAGTTGGGTTGACTTCTAGACACTTCAATCTTCCACCTTAGTCATTCCCATTGAGAAAACATCCCTTAATTCTGGCTGTTTTATTCAACTGCCCACTTTGACATTAGCCTGGAACAGGCAGGTATCAAAGAATTTTTTTCTGCTCTTAAATTCCTTTTGATGTGTCCTGTGTGTGACCCCTGCATTAGGAGTCACATCTGGGACAAAGGATAGACTTTTGGGCCAAAAGACCAGACACTTTCCTAAGGACACATGTTACTCTTCCTTTCTGTTTTGGGTCAACTCTGTATTTTTATGGCTGAGAAAAAGCAAAGATCCCATTTTCCACCCCCTCTCTACCATAAAGCAGTCCTCTTCTCAGCTGGGGGATAATCTTTGCCCAGGGATATGCTGCCTCTTCAAATTCAGTTTGGACAAAGTGTCTTTCAATCAGAGATATGGATGAGGGTCAATTTAAGGAGTCAGTTCATGTTGGCTAAAAAGCATGCATCCACAACTGATATGATGTGTGTGTGTGTGTGTGTGTATGCACTTCTTATCACACACTCTTCTCCCACATTGATGTGTTTAAAGCACTTACCACAGACTATCCATAGTATGTACCGCCCCTGCCTCCAAGTGCTCCAATAACCCAGCCTACTTTAGTTGTTCGTAGTACCTGATAGCACTCCTGCCCTACCCCATCTTCCAGGCACAAGAGACCTGTTCCCCAGGAGACACAGCCTGGCCCAACTGCAATCCTTTCCAAGCTACTATTTATGAATCTAGTAGAAAGACTCAGACATGCTTGCCATGTGAACCTGACCTCTGTTTTGCTCACCTCAAGGGAACTGGAGTCCATGCCTCTCTCATTTCAGGGTTGCAGAGAATACAGCAGCTTGCAAAGAACACAAAATACTTCAGACACAAGCTAAAGAAAATGGGATTCATTATCTATGGCAACGATGACTCTCCTGTTGTTCCCATGCTCCTTTACCATCCTTGTAAAGTAGCGTAAGTATTCAGAGATTCTCAGAACCATGCTAAACCCCAAGCGACCCATAGGGATGCTTTTGATGCATTGGGCTTTCCTGCACAGCCATCAGGTCACGTACGTGAAAGGCACGCTTAGCTTCAGAACTCACCAGTACAGCCCCTCCGTAGCCCCTGCCAGTCATCAGCAGAACTTTGGCCACATGTCTTTAAGAAAATAAACCAGGTTCTAAGGTCCACTTCTTTCCCTAACACCATTTCTAAGATCAGGAAATGTGGTGAAATAATTTATGTCAACTGTAAATTAAAGACTCTTGAACCTCTCTCTGGCTGAGCATCCTTCTCAGAAAAAAACTTTTGAAAACTATTTCTCCCAAAATTGCCATCAAACCAAGCAGAATTAGAACTTTCTCCCTTTGACTATGGAGAAGTTGAGGCTGAGGGCAATGAAACAACTTTCCTACGTCGTGCAAATCAAGCAGCAGTATAAAATCAAAAAGACAACCTCACCCCTACGCTAGGCTCACTCAAACCTAGGCTCACTCTGAAACTTTCTCTTAACACTAGAGGTCCTAACTCCCCTCCAATATAACCCCATTCTCCTTGACACTATAGCAGTTTGAACTGGCTGGTAATGTTTGCAATATAGGAAACAAGTTTTTAAAAAAGAGGTTTGGGGACCTAGAGGCTGAAATTTCATGGAGAATGAGACTGAGTTATAAATTATTGAAAAACTGAGTCTTGGAAATATCCTCCTGTGACTTTCTGCCACAGCAACATAAGAAGCTGTAAAACACATACATGGGTTCTTAGCATGCTAACACCACTACCATATGGCCCTTAAATTCTCCTCATGGAGAATCTTATGACATAGAATGCTATGGAGATGGCACATACAATATCACTGTATACCAAAGGGAGAGGAGGTGATTTCCAGGAAGCACATAATACACATCGCTCTCCCTTCTGATTTTGGAAGGCACAGAAGAACACCCGTATTTATTCAAAGTGGCTGGGGAGGTGATATGTTTGGGAAGGAAGATTGAAAATTTAGCTCATATCTACCTAGTATTTTAACATGAGCTCAAACAAAGCACCCAAAATAAATTTATTCAGGTGTTGACAGCCTACCAAGTGTGCACAGTAGTGGAGCAGAGAAAAATGGGGATAGGTCTGACTTTGATGATGAAAGCCAGAATTAGAAACTCAAGTGTTGGAAAAATGAGACATCTCAATGAAAAAGGTGCATGATTAGTAAAATCAAATGCATTTCTTAATTTTTTTTTTTTTTTGGTTTGGTATTTTAGGGAAGGATCTACAGGATGTTCAGGGTCTCACTACTAGATTGGACTTGTAGTGATCCACCTGTTAACAGCCTCCCAAGAGCTGGGATTACAGATGCGTGCCACCACACCCAGTCTCAATTGCTGTCTCAGCAATCCTGGGGGTGGGGCCTACACAGAAGACCCAGGGATCGAATCCCCAGCCCCTGAGTCTGCTTGCAGGCTCTTCAATCTGCTGAGCTATATAGCCAGTCCTATTTTTATTTTTAATTGATACATAAGACAATGAAAATTATACATATTAATGGGTTACCATATAATATTTCAGTATCTGTATGTTGTATAATATTTAAATCAGATGAAATATCTGGGGATATAGCTCAGAGGCACAGTGCCTGCCTAGCAAATGTGAGGTCCTGAGTTCCATTTCCAATATAAAAAAATAAATAAATCAGGTGAAACATATCTATCTCCACAAATAGCTATGATTTCCTTAAGACATTCTTTTGAATATTTCTTTTGAAAGACTTTTATCTTCCTTCCAGCCTCTTAAGACATACATAAGAATTACAAACAGATATCACACTATGCCATAGCACACCTCAATTCCAGATGCATTTCTAGTCAAACATTCACTAATACAACATGGGTACTGTGAAAGTCATGCTCTATAGTGTAATGAGAAATTTGGAATCAAAGAATCTTGACTCAGCCTCTTCCTAGCTGAGGAATCTTGAACAAGAGACCCAACCTTTGGAAACTCCAGATTGCCATGTATACAATGAGCTATAATAGTGCCTGCTTCCTAAGATCGCTGCAAAAACAAGGTCTCTATAGCATGTGACATCTTGCCTCTTATGTAAGTGCTACTATTAATACTACTGTTGTTAGTAATATCAATAGTGTGTACAAGGCATTTGCTACGTGAGTGTCATTAGTAGTAGCACTATTACTCTACTATGGCAATTATTGTTATGAGCTTCGACTGAGTACAAGTTTGAGTCACCATAGTCATCCAGATAATTATTGAAATCTTTGGTTACTTTAATAAAGGTAAAGCTGGGCCGGAGAGATAGCTCAGCGGGCTAAAGTGTCTGCTCAGGTGAGCTTAGGCAAGTGTAGGGACTGCAGTTTAATCCCTGGCACCACATGCCAAACCAGCCCCACCTCAATGTTGGGCTGCCATAGAGTCTTGGGTAGTAAGCTAAGCCTGTAATCCCAGCACTGGGGAGGCTGAAAACAGGAGGATCAGTATGAGTCAGAGCCGTGTAGTGAGACCCTGTAACAACCAAATACACTTAAAAAAACAAAAATAACGATAAATAAAAGCAGAGTTCTCAGAAAAGTAGTATGTAAACAGTGTGCTACATTCTGAACCAATTATATAATATATGTTGAACTGTCTTGTTCTGTCCAACTTAAGATTGTTTTTCAAGAGATGCTATCTTAGTTATTTTTTTTGTTGACAAAATATTCAAAACACAAAATTAAAGATGAAAAAGTTTATTTCAGCTCACAGTTTGTAGAGGTTTCAGTTCATAACCAGCTGGCCCCAAGGTTGGGTGGCACATACCAGAGGTACATCCCAGGGGAAAAACAGTTCAAGGCAGGCAGAAGGCAGCAAATCAAGAAGCAACAGCAGCAGCCCTCTATCTGCCCCTTACATTCCATCCAGTCCCTGGGCCCTCACCCCCCAGGGTGGGCCTTTGCATTATCCACACCCAGAACTATGCCAAACCTATTAGTACACTAATTTAGTAATCATACCCCTAATCCCAGCATCACATATCTAGTCCACTGAGATCATACACCCTAGATCCAGCCACCTACAACAACATGAGGCTTTAGAAGGACTTCTAGACACGTGCTATAACAGATACCATCATTGATGAAGTCTGATTGCATGTTATATAAGGCTGTCTAACCCCAGTGTCAATCTACTATGCTTGTGATGTTTATCTCTATTTTATAAATGAGCACACTGGGCTGGGGAGATAGCTCAGAAGTCTAAGTGCCTACCTGGCAAGTGCAAGGACCCTAGTTTGATCCCCAGTATGGCATGTTATGCCAGCCCCAGAACCCCAGGGGCACTGTGCCAGCCAACAAAACTGGAAATGGTGGCATGTGCCTATAATCCCAATGCTGGGGAGGCTGAGACAGGGAGATCACTATGAATCTGAACTGTATAGTAAGACCCTGTATCAAATTAATTAATTAATTTTTAAAATTAAAAAAATAAATGAGGACACAAGCTAAAAGAGGTCAAATTATTTTCTAAGGCTCACATATGTTATAGGAGCAGTGTTCAGAATTCAAAGCCATTTCTCTTTATCTGCTATACCTGAGCTCTTTTGAACATTACAGCGTAGCCTGTCATGCTTCAGCCCATGGGGAAGGGGTATGCACATCTCATTAAAACTACACATTTAATTCAACCTTCTTGTATGTCATCTTTGGTGGTTCAAAAACATCAGATACTGTGACAGAAGAATTTCTAACTGAATTGCCAAAGGAAACAACAGGCTAATTAGAAAAGGTAATAGCATCTATCATCACAAAAGTTACTGGCAAGAGCTGGCCCCACTCTCTAGTTTTGTTCCCTTAAGCCAAAACAAAAGCTCTTCTTATGCTCACACATGTAAGAATTTTTGATATAACTTAAAAGTCATGCTTCTCTACATTCTTACATGTGTAGACTAAAAAGCCCAGTAGCCTTTTCAGCACAGTCTTGTTACAACACTACAACTGGAGACTAATGGAAGGTGACTGTAGCCATAAAATGTGCACTTAAATAAACAAGAATGACCAAGAATGGGGCACATGTTCACAGTCCCATCCCATGGAAAGCTGAGGCAGTAGTGAGTTCAAGATCAGTCTGAATTACATTACAAGACCCTATATCAACACCCCTCCCCAAAAAAAATCAAGACTATTATATTTAGTGCATGATACAGGGTTTATATTTTCCTTCAGTGGTCCTTATCATATATGTGGAAGACATAATGATGCTACATGCAGCTCTAGGATAGAACTGCTTTGTTTAATGTCTTCCAGCCTATGCCAGCTCTCATTTGCTTCAGGGAGTACAACCTAAAGTGTTCAGTGCAATCATATACATTGGCATAAGGCTGCTAGCGGCAGTAGTATAAGTTTCAAGTTCAAAAGTGGTCCAGAGAGGCCCAGATTAACCTAATGAATCAACAGTTATATATTTTGTTCTACATTCTTTGGCAAATTTCACTTCCTTTGGTACAAAGGGACAGGGACATGCAGACAGTGAAAACCGTCTGCTGGAAACCCTGAACACTGGCCTAAGATCATGGGTCAGGTGGTTTGTACTTCAGCAATAAAAGCACTTGACTTGTTTCTCAGACAATCATGAGCTCTCATCCTGTGCAGTGTCGTGGGCAGCCTTCCATAGGGTGATCAAGAAGAAGAAAGAACTGTGTCTGTTTTCAAGTTTTCTCAGCTAGAAAGCTTTGTCGCCTGTAGCCTTCCCAGTCAAAATCAAAGGGCAAATCTTGCCTTGTCCTAGTCAGGGGGCCAGATAGTCTGTGTGTTCAGTAGGTCTTGCTGCCTCCGCAGCTTTTCCTGATAACCTCCATCCTGTATGAGGCCATCTGAGGCAGTCCACTGGACAGCAGGGTGGATGAATGAACAGGCAGTCTCGCTCAGCATGTCTGGTTCAGGAATTCTTCCTGAGTTACAACTGGGAGGCTTCTCTGGCACTGTCAGCTTCCAGCCTAAAATAATACACCAGCAAACTCTTAATGCTAAGAACAGATCTAAGGCATTTACTTCGCTTGTGGGTACAGCCACTCTGTAATTAAGGTTTCCTACAGAGAGCAACAGAGCCCAAAGGGGGAAAAGACTCACTTGGGGGTACGTGCCTTTTTTATCTGACCTTGGCTTGCAGCACAAGCAATTTACAGACTTGGAGCTGAATATTCTATAATGGTTTCTGAAATTAGCTTTGCAAAAGAAGAACTCTAGAAGGATAAAGGGAAGGGTCATAGCTTTCAAAGGTTTTGCTCTGAATCAAAGAGCTTTCTAGTCATGTGACTTACATCCTATCAGCTGTATCAGCCCCTTGAGATTCTCTGCAGATGCACATTCTTGCCCCGTCTCCCTACTGCATGATTCCCCTTGAACCCAGTCAGTGGGCTTTTACCCTTGTGTGTACCTTTGTGTGCTCCTTCGCACATTAAAAAAAAGGAAGGGATCCTTGCTATTTCTTAGATTTGATGTAAATTTAAGCTTTGCTCCTAAACTGAAAACCTTGGCTTCCAGTTGGATCTTATGGACCTTCAGATCCTATTCTTCAAGTTATAGTGACTAAGTATGACTTCTTGAAATGTCCGTGGTACATTATTGGTATGAAGTTTTAAAAGCATACAAATTTGCAATTAATATATAAATGCTGTGTTATGAAACTATATTCTATTAGCTGTGTTTTTTAATTCCTATGAACCCTGCATTGATGAAAGACTTTCTATCATTGAAGACCTGATAAAACATAGTCACACCAACATTTTCTGCTCAATGTCAAAACTGTGGTTCACACTGCATCTAGTGATTATTTCAGGCCCATAATACAACACATTCAGTTATGGGGGCCATTTCTTTGTTGATTCTGTCGACAGAGTTTAGTAACTTTAATCATCTCCTGCTTATCAGTAAAAAAAGAAAAAAATCAATTATCCATATTCTTTTGCATGTGCAGGGGAACAGGATAATTCCGTTTTATGTTGGTGAATTTTTTTCCTCTTCCTCAGGGCTTTTGCAAGGCACATGTTAGAGAAAAAAATTGGAGTGGTGGTCGTTGGATTTCCAGCCACTACACTTGCAGAAGCTCGGGCTCGGTTCTGTTTGTCAGCAACGCATACTCAGCAGATGCTAGACACAGTGAGTATCCCACAGCCCAAATAACCTCTTGTTTTGGTGCCTTGGATTCTGGGCAAGAGCTTGCCTAGAACCAGCTTGGGGTTCCCTGGGTTTCTCAGGTGGTTGAGGATAACAACATTAATGACAAGTAAAACTCACTGCTAAGACTGAGGTTGTGTCAACAGTATTCACAATGTGATTCACCCAGCGGACAGAGGAAAAAATCAGTTTAGCAAAAGCTTTAGTCTGGTCAGTACTTTGGTCTCATGGGATCGACTGAGTAGTCAAATGTGATGTTTACTTGTTCTGAAATGAAAAGCTGGTCATTTTCATGTTATTTTAGCATCACCAGGGATTGAACTCAGGTCCTTGCGCTTGCCAGGCAAGTGCTTATTCTACTGAGCTATCTCCCCGGCTCCCAAGTGTCCTGATATTTTTAATTGCCATGAAATCTTTCATAATAAAATATGACCCAACAAAGCAATCTGTGAGAAATCAACCAGATCTGTAACATATCAGCCTAAGTGGTAGTTATTGTAGTTTAGGGAACTGAGGGTTCCTTAGGCCAAAGGAAGAAACAAGTGAGAGTGAGCAGGAAATGGGCAGACTCCTGTGGAGACACGGGATACAGGAATCACAGGTGGGAGCTTCATCAGCTTAGGTGAAGCTAGAGCCATCTGGAACAACATGGGCTATGTCTACTGTTACTCACAGCAAAGAGGAGAGAGCTTTAAGGAGAAATAAAATGTTCCCCAAAATTAGAGTAAGGAAGAGATAAGAAGAAACTACTGGGTTGACAATTAGTGAGAGCTCAGTGCTCTTTAGAGTGGGTCATTTTAGGATAATGCAGGGAACCGCCAAGAATTAAAAGAAGAGAGAGAGAAGGAGGGGAGGGAGGGATAGAGAGAGAGGGAGGGAAGGGAGGACACAGAGAGAGAGGGAGGGGAGGGAAGGATAGAGAGAGAGGGAGGGGAGGGAGGGGGAGAGAAAGAGAGAGGGTGGAGGGACCCAGAGAGAGCACCCAACACAAAACTGTTCTCTGCTTCCTTAAAATCTCTAGCCCAAACAAATGCAATAAGAATCCTCTCCCAAGTGCCTGTCACTAAAATGTCTATAGCTCTGTGGTCTGCTCTTCTGTGCTACAATAAGCCAAAGAAGCCTAACTTTGGGTATAGTTGTATTCTGGGTGTTCTTGCATCCGTTTAGGTAAACTATTTAGAAATGGCAAGTGCCTCACCTATAAGCATTATACAACAGAAAAATAAAAGTTAAAGTGACAATGAATAAGTTGGGCTTCGTAATGTGTGATTCTAATCCTAGCACTCTGGGAGGCTGAGGCAGGAGGATGACAAGTTCAAGTCAAGACTTTGTCTCCAAATTTAAACATGCAAAGGACTGGAGGCATAGCTCAGTATGAAGACACAAAGTTCAATTCTTACTACTGAGAAAAATAAATATAAATTCTAATGATTCCTCCCGGGACTTCACATATATCCCCCAAATGCTCAAGTACTCATTTTTGGAGACCACTGAATAGTACATCTCCCATCTTCAGCAAAGATCAATAGAAACTACTCCAAGTAGATAGTATTTAGAACATGACTTCTGCTACTTTTTGTTAGTACACAGATTTGGGAAACACTTTTAAAAGAATATTTTCAGTGCCCATAATCATAGCGTCAAGAAATAAGTTACCCTTGGCACTGTGGTAGATATTTCAGTTGACAGCACTTTGAAAGACTTTCTAATCGAGAAAGTCTGTAAGCCTCATTAACCACTCATATTAATGTTATCCACCCTCACCCTGCCTTCTCCAGAGCATTGGACCCTAATACTGCCCTTATCCTTATTTTGACCAGTTCAGAAAAACAGGCTCAAAGATTAAAAAGAGTTACCCAATACTGTAGGATTAGTATTAATACCATAGGATATACTAGAAGTAAAAATGACATTCTTAAAGCTTTCTGGACCTCGGTTGTTTCATTTGCAAAGTTAAAAATACATTTACCACTTAAAGTAGGAGAACAGAGACAGGTGCAGTCTTGGTCCCTTGTGAGTTACGGCTGTGTTATAACATGGAATGCAAAGATGCTTATTTTAAGATAGGTGGTAAAGCATGGAACAGTTGACGATAATGCTAACTAGCCCCGTGATGCTCCATTTTGTGCTTGGCTAGGCTGATTTGCTTTGTCATGAAGATGTAACCTCAAGTATATTCTGCAACCTTACGTTTCTCCCACAAGGTTATATGTAAGTCACTATATCTTAAAATGAATTCTTAAAGGGCTTAGATAAGCCAGATGTTTTGTCTCTTCTCTTCACATTTCCAAAATAAAACAAACATCCATAACATGGAGTTAGACCATTAAATAAAATGAATGGCCATCTAACATTCCTCTAGACCTTATCAACTACGACCTAATGGCATGGATCTTGCTTCTTTTCTTTAAAATCCAAGCTGCTGGCCAACTAAGCCTGTGGGTCTTTGTGTTTTTCCTGGGCTTGGTAAAGCAGAGCCCCCTAGGGATTTAAATATAACTGATGGAAGGCAATTTCCTTGCAGGTTTTGGAAGCCATTAATGAATTGGGTGATCTCCTGGCTTTGAAATATTCCCGGCAAAGGAATTCATAACGCCTTGTACCCTATGATGAAACCAGCTTTGAACTTGACAAATTAGTTTCCTGGTCCTGAATGAAACATGAAGACTTTGTCAAAAAGACCTCCCTCCTCACCTTGGAAGGAATATAAGTGGAATTCTCCTCCTTTCTAGGGACAGCTTGTTTTCCAGGCCTGCTTAATTGAACTGAGAGAGATTGTTATGTTTTTATGCCTCTAACTTGCAACTTCAGAGACAACTTATGGTTCTAGATTTAGGTTTGTCCCAAGGATCTGCTACAAATGCAACACACACACACACACACACACACACACACACACATTTCTTGAATGTTTTTGATGGCAATGAGCCTGTGTTAGCTGCTACTGTGCAGCCTCACTGATTCAGAGCCTTTCAGGGGTTCTAGCCAAACATGAAGACTTTGATCACTACAAGTAATCACACCGTGTTTACTTATTTGATGGGCAGTCGTGGACGGAGTACTGGAGAGTAACTGAATTCCCTGTCCCACCAAAAGAAGTACCAGCTACAATTCATCCACATCACAGGAAGTTCCAGGCAGGAGGGTAAAAAAATGTTGCTTCTACCATTTGCCACATTTGGACTTTTTCCAAGGACAAGTGTCAAAAGACACAGTTAATGTTTCGAGGGAGAAAGTAGAACTGGCCAGTAGTGAGTAGAGAGGGAAACTTCCCTTTTTCCTCTTGCTGTGCTCCAACAGTTTTACAGCTGAGCCTTTGAGATTTGGAAAATCCAAGCTCTTGTTTCATAAAGAAGGAGGCAGAGAGAAAGCACAGGCCAATTTCAGGCTTAGACTAAAACTGTAAAATTATAACTTGAACATTGTCGGTGCTATGCAGGGGGAGTGCTTAATACGCATGGCTTTCGTGACTTTAAGGAATGAGTTGCCTTTCGCCTACTGAATTTTGAGTAAACGATGAAGCTCAGTTTCCTTTAGAACTGACTCCCAAGGGTACAACTTGAAGAATGTACTGATTCAAGAAGGACATTTATAAACAATTCTCTCTGTTTCTTTCAAGGCTGCAGGGTCTATTCAGGTGCATTAAACAATACTGTCATCTTGGCATATATTTTCAGATTTGTGCAAAACAGGCTTGCATACTTTTGGGAAGCTTACTTTAATTCATCTGCTTTCTCTGTCTCTGTTTCTCTTTCATACACACACACACACACACCTCTGAAAAATTAGTCCTTTGCTAATTGGATCTAGTTGGTATGGAAAAAGCCAGTGGAAACCCTTATCTTTAACAAGCTCCCAGATGGTGCCCAGATTTGGAAACTCTAAAGAGCAATGGTGACCTTTTAGCCAAGCTTCTGTAACAGTTCGAATGAGTTACAGAACATTCCACTCCATCAAATGACACTGTAAACAAATCACTTCAAGAGAGGTTGGGCTTTGTGTGACACAGATGGGCCCGGGCTTTCATGCTGTGCACTGAGATAGAAGCTCCACCCTCACGCCAGTGTCGCAGAAGCAACATGCCCTGGCGCTCAACATTCCAAGGAAAGAGGTGACCAGCTCAGAAAGCTTTTCATAAATCACAACGCTTTGTGGGTACAGTCAGTTTAAAAGTGAATCCGTGTGATAAAGTTCCTTAGGAGTGATTAAAAACTAAAGGAATACAGTTAGCACAGAAGGAAAAGAAATGGGTTCTGAGGATACCAACTCTCATCAATCGAGAAGCCTTACTGGGGCCAGAAAAGCAAATGCTGTATAAATACGCAGAGAAAAGAAATTATGTAGGTCTTTTCTCCTTAATATGAAATTGTTACTGGTTAACTGTTGAAAATGCATTAGTATCTGTTCTGTGGGGGAAGCAGAAAGTAAAGGAGGCAGCAAGATATACGAGCCTTTCTTAAGATATAGCAAGCATGGGGCTGGGGAGATAGCTCAGTAGAATAAGTGCTTGGCTGGCAAGCACAAGGTCCTGATTTTGGTCCCTGGTACCAACAAAAAGAGAGAGAGAGAGAGAGAGAGAGAGAGAGCGAGCAACAAACACCTCCCATTTTTTCTGGGTTTGACTGTGATACACACACACGCACACACACACATACACTTCCTTCCAATTTTAAGTCACTAGATGGGCAAGTGTCTTCCCATGCAGGAATGGTCTACCTTTCTACTTTAATTCAGGAACTTAAATTGAACTAAATTCATCATGGGGAACAAATCACTTACCCATCTGCCACGTGGATCAGGAAAAGGTTAGTCCTTCTCCATCAAGATCCAAGATCCTTGGGGAAATATTGTCTATTCTTGCATACCAGAGAAAAGACCTATTTCTGTGAGTTTGCATTGGAGATACTGGATGTGTAAGAATAGCTGTAATCCAAGTGGAATGCTTCCCAGGTACATGAAGAGAGATCCTGCACCACAACAGTATATGCCACATAGAATGAGCTTGGTTATAGGGTAATTGCAAAGAATGAAAGTTTTTATTTTTACAAATAGAAGTTCTATAGTGCTGGACAATGATTTCAACACAGTACCGATACAATCCTAGTACCACAGCTTAGTCTTTGCCAAAGAGAATTTTTCTACCAGAAGTATCCTATCACACTATGTATTCCCAACCCCTCTATTCACAGACACACACATGTGTGTGTGCGCGCGCACACACACACACACACACACACACACACACAATTCTTTACAGAGGAAATGTGTGAAGATTAGAAATAAGAATCTGATTGAATGTGAGATAGATGGAAGGTGTTCTAGAAAGCAACCTTCAGGGGAAAAAAGGTAAAGGTTCTGATTGGCATTGACTAGGAATCTTGTTAACATGCCAGAACTCTGGGCCCCACCTCACACTTCCATTCAATCAAACCATGGTGGTGCTGAGCAAACTACAACTTAACAAGCATTCTCAGGTGATTCTAATGCATGGCAGAATTTGAGAATCATTACTGGAGCTCTTGGGAGACCCACTGGCTCTTGATTTTCTGCTGACATTTTAGGGTGCTAATACTGGTAAAGTGAAGTGAATTTATGCCCTGGCCATCCTTCTCTCTTCTATGAGATATTTCCTTCCCATTTCACTCAATTCCTGTTCCCACAACAATGGACTGAACCAATGTTAAAGAATAATCTGCTATACATGTGATCAAAATTCCTTCTCCAGTTCTCTTCTACATCATTCCTTATGAGATGTCTCTTTTGCTTTGTATCACTCTGCATCTTTCAATATGATGTCTTTTTTCTCCTCCTACTCTTAGAAAAAATACTTCAACCTCTGATTATTTATTTATTCCAGCTGTAGCTCCTCCATAGGGTGAAATTCTTAACAGTTCTTCAGACATAGTGTTGCTTTGTTTTTTTCTTCAGAAACAGCAGATATATAGAAATGCCTTACTCTGGTTTTAAAAAATCTAAGTTCAGTTGATGAAACCTACATTCAGATATATACTGTGATTTATAGCAATAATAATTTAAACAAAAACAATGGTAATATCATATCATGAATTTTTTGAATTTTTTCTTTGTTTGGAACAGTTAAAGCAGTGTATTTGACATCTATTCTCTCAGAACGTTCTCATCTGTGTAGCATTTAATAAACTAATATATTGTATTGTAATTGTACTTCAAAGTTTCCAAGCAATTACTGTGGAACAAATCTTACAGCATTGTTATGAACAATGTGTGGTGTTTCAGTATGTGTGAGTGATACTCAAATGCTTCACTGGAACATTTAAGATGTGAATTTTACTTGATTCTCTCTGTATAAAAAACAACAGTCTGGGGTTTTGTGTTCATTTAGGTTAGATTACCCTGAAAAGAAAAAAGAAGACTGAGGTGATGATTTGCATTTAGGAATTTCACTTGAGAAAACAAGTAGGATTGTCTGAGGCTGGCTTATACTTTCATGAAAAACAATTATGTGCATCTCTTTTCACCCCACTCAGCGGTATCACACTGATGCCTTGCAAGTGACCAGAATGGGAATATTTACAACATAAAATTGACAAACTCTACAAAGCAGAGATCTAGAGATGTGGCTGTTAAAAAGATGTACCAGCATACCATTGAAGCTATACACAATGGTACAATACCTAGGGCTTGCCAGTTACCTGGGAAACTGTACAACCACGTAGGTCATTTAGACTATCTCATGTTGGGGAAAGGAGCCCAGAACATCAACAATCAGCCATTGGATACAAGCTCTGAGGTAGAGGTGCAGGCCGGGGGATCTCTCAAGCAAGACAGCTCTGGTCAGCTGAAAACAATTCCTATGTTACAATTCCTAGTAAGTAACAGCTATGACCAGTTACTCACTAATTTATTTCTAATACATCCACTTAAAAATTTGTAATGTGAATGTTTAAATACACAGTAAAACAGAGAGGATACTTTAATGAATTATCATGCACTTACCACCCAATTTCAAAGATTATCAATTCATGGCCAGACTCCATTGATTACCTCATCCACATAACTCCCTCTCCCACAAGACAACTTTAAAGTGAACCCCAGAAATAATCTTATTTTATGAGTCAATATTTCACCATGATCTAAGATGTAGGAATGTCTTAATTTGTTCCTCCTCTCAACCTCATCAAAATATGTCTTCAGAAAGGCATCAAAATGAATCAAAGGTAAACCTTTACTTTCTTTATGTTGCAACCTGTCTGTGGAGTCCCTGGATGAAAACTAGGATTTATTTCTAAAGTATGTGGTGTGTTGAAAGGTAAGAATGCAATCATTTTAAGACACAAACCATGTGCCAGACACTGCACTAAAAACCCCAACATACACTATCTTCTTGGTACTGTTGTCAAGACTAATAATGGATTTCTTGGAAGGCAAGAGTATTCAAATTGTAAAGGGATTAGCAGAGTATAAAGAGGACTTCTAATACTCTGATGGTACATTGTTCTTTCCTGGAATGCTTATCCTCTTCCTTATCAAATCAAAACCTTTCTTAAAAGGTTATTTCAGCTAAACTTTATATACCAGCAGGAGTAATTCAATCAAGAACAAGAGAACCAGTCAAACCAGTTTCCATGTTTGGAAAAGGTTGCTGCCTATACCAGTTAGGGTTTAAAGTAAGACTTGTTATTCTAATTCTTCTTGCATCCCTTCGTCCAAAGGAGAGGCTGAATGTGACATTTGCATGTCAACTGCTCTGAGAACTTATCACAGACACGAATCAATAAAATATCCAACAACAGAAGGTTAGAATAGAAGCAAAAGGCAAAAAGGGGGATTTTTTTTTTCCTGCAGCATGAAACAGTGCTCCCTTTTATTCAGGCCAGATGCTAATTTTTATATCAAAAATATTGATTGAAGGGACTAGTGATTTTGGCTCTTACTCAAGTTTATTCAGGATCTTTCTTAATTAGGTTTGGGTCGGCTGTAGTGCCCATGGCCAAGGGTAGGTCTGGCTCTAATCACCACATCATGCTCTCTACTTCATCCTGGGCCAAGGACTAAGGCAAGGAAATTGCTGCTTCTTTGTTTCTCCAGCCCGTAAGTTTGTTTTTTTCCAGATTTGAAGCATGCATGGAGCAAATGTGTAAGGAAGACCAAAAGAAATGTAATGGCTTCACTATGATGAGATCAAGCTAGCCTACAACTTGACTGCGATCCCCAGCATGAATAAAGCTCTGTGTGTGAAAAATGAATGGGGAGCAATGTGAGGTCACGGAAAAAGATCTTGGCATCTTTTAAATGAAAACTTTTCAGCAGGCTAATGCAGTCAATCAGTCTATGAGATTTTTTTTTAAAGGGTAAAATAATCTCTTTTGCAACAATACATTATTTCCCCATAGCGTGTCTATTTTGTAAATAATTGCAGTTGTCATGCAATTATTTTTATAGTGTCCACACCAATTTCATATTATTTATAGAAGTTTTTTAAAAACTTCACAAAAAAACTTCAATAAGTCATAGTCACAAATTGGACACCTAAAACAAAATGGATTTTCCATCATATATGAAATACTACATTGTTAAAAATATATATGATTCAGTTTTCCTAAAACATTTCCAACAAATAGCTATGAAGAGTTTTTAACTCTTACATTTTTCTCAATTAAAATTTCAAAGTATGATTTGTAAGAAATTTTATTAACAGGATAACCCTAAATGGAACCAATTAAAAGAGGTTCTTTGGGTTTTTTAATATATTTTTTTCCTTTTTGCCAATTTTTTATTAATGTACATAAG